ACAGATTTAAACAAACATGCAAGGCTCACCTGGTTAGTGGCGTCAATAACTAAACTGGTCTATATCCAAGTCCAATCGCTAATGTTACTATTAGATGTTTTATTTACCATTTGTAAAATGGTCCAAAGTATTAGTTTTGCTTCCAGCAGTCAAGTCAACATCATGAAGAAACCTGCACGATAATCACATGCCGCAGAATATATAATTACTCTTGCATACTCCACATGCTCCACATATGCTTTTAAACTATAAATGTAGACAATATTCTGTATTTGGGTGATTTTGTTATGTTCTCTCAACTATGTTTAGCACATTTTGCCTCGTTTAAATTCAATCTGCAGGTTAAAAACTCAGGTTCAAGACGTTTTTGTCTTTTTAGCTGTATTTTGTAAGCTAGAAAGGTGTGACACAGTTGTGGAGTCCAGTCTGGGATGTGTGGGATGATTTGAGGCGAAAGAAATTAAAGGTAAATTATGCTTAAAAAACCAATTGTGTGCATTTCGCATGATATATTCATCATAATATTGTGTTTTTAGCTACAGCAGGACTCATTTTGCATTGCATGTTTATAGCTCAAATTTAGAAAAGTAATCAAAAAGTAATCAGTTACATTACTTTAATAAAGTAATTGAAAAAGTTACACTACTATTACATTTTAAGTAGGGTAACTTGTAATCTGTAACCTATTACATTTCCAAAGTAACCTTCCCAACACTGCTCGTATCTATAAAAGGAAAGCTGCCTCTATAAAATGAGTCCATCTTGACCCATGCTTAAAAAAGTGTCAGTGCAGTCACTTTACTGAGGGTCCTAACAGTTTTAGACCCGACTAATGACCCTGAGAAATGTTCATACGGTTTCAGCTGAAAATGCTCTGTGAGGAATACATTCAGTGGTTTAAATCTATAGATTTGAATGAATGAATGAATGTCAAAATGAAGTATGGGTATAGGTCTTTTCTACCCACTTTGTTTCTGTGGTCAACCCTGAGTGCAAAACTGATGAGCTGCAAAGATGCTGTGATTCCTCGAGTTCCTTCTGCCCTCCAAAAATCATCACGTGCAGAAAAGCAAGTAGAAACAGAAATGTCAACACAGTAGCCATATGTAAATGTCACTATTCCTACACTCTTAAAAAAATTAATAAATCAGGGGACCTTTTACCACACTTAAATTACTGCATAGTTGCAAAAATGTAAATTTAAAAAAGTTAAAAAATTCTAATTTATTGATTTAATTCAACCTTTTAAGTTGCAAACATTATTTTGCATAAACTTAATGGAATTGTCTTCATAATTTGTGAAAATTGGCCAGTGGATTTCTAGATCCCAGCATGCAGTGCATAGGACTGGATATGGAGAATACATATTTAAAATAAGTGTGTGTGTGTGTGTGAGAGAGAGAGAGAGAGAGAGAGTGAGAGTGTGTGTGTGTGTGTGTGTGTGTTTGTGTGTGTGTGTGTTTTAAGGGAAAGACCTGTTAGCATTTGCTTTTATGTTTGACATTTAAGACTTTGTTGATGTTTGTCGTTACCATTGTGCTAAAGAGTAGCGCTCATGGCTAAGTTGGGGGTGACTGTATGAGCCATGACTGTGCACGGGTTTTTATCCAAAGTAAACTTTTAAAAACTCGTCACTCACCATGACAATAGCCAAGGGAAGGTGGCATGGTGTTAAAACTTAAATCAACCAACAATGACTGAAAATGCCAGTGACAAGTAATACCTTACTTGTTCATTCATTTTGCATGTTAATTTACATTTAACGTGCTACGGTAGGCTGTTAATTTGAAAGGGGTCATGAATTGAGAAATCAAATTTTCCTTGATGTTTTGACATTTAAGGAGTCATTGTACAATAAAAATATCCCGTAAGTTTCAGAGTTCAAAACTTCCTCGTTAGTCCAAAAACAGCTTTTATTGAAACCAAGATCAGAAAACGACTCGTTTCAGATTTTGTCACATTATGACGTAATAGTGCAATGAAAGACCGCCTCTGCAGAATCAGATCAACGCCGCCTTCTACATCATCGTATCAAAACTCGAGTTGCAATGATGAGATCACTGCATTCATGCGCTCAACTGTCTGTCGTCATCTGCTACAATGAACCTTTCATGCAACAGGAGTAGATCTAAATATAATGCTATAATCAGCACTTTTCAAGATTAGTTCATCTCAATACCTCAGAAAACATTATCAAATAATTCAAAAATGCAGTTCATTACCCCTTGAACTAGAATATGTAAGATTAATTGTTTCAAGACCTATCAACCTAATTTATGCTACAAATTGGGTCCTATAACCCAGTGTAGTTTGTTGGTTGAACATGGTTTTATTTGAATTTGTCATAACTTCGAAACATTTGTTTTTAGAGTGTATATCTGGCCTACCGTGTCCCAGACATCTATAACTTTGCATGCCTGGCTGGACGTTTCTCACGTCACTGCTGGATTGGTCACACAAGCTTGGCTGTATCACAGTAACTCGACGCCTTCTCCAGAGAGCGTCTTTCCCCAATCCTACAATAGCACCACTCAGCACCGTCGGATCACAGCTTGACTCTGTGTTTTCCCCCAAAAGCCACATCTTGATTCCAACAAAACAGCACAGATCGGATTCTAATCTCCTTGCCTTCACCTCAACTCTGGCTTTGTGTGGCTTGAGTGACAGGGAATGATCATGAATCTGTTGCGGCATTACTGGTCTTACTGCACCAATAAAGGGATTAGCTGTTATTTTCAAGGAAGATTATGTTTTTAATATATAATTCATAGTTAAATGTGTATTTTCTTTGCTTCTAGTACAGCTTTCACTCTTTTGAAGGTTTTACAGTAATTTTGGAACATGGATGCAGGGATATGCTTCACTCTAAAAAAAAAAAAAATTTGAAAAAAGTTGGAAAAGTTTCCAACAAGGGTTTGAAGAACCATTTTAGGTTCCCCAAAGAACCTTTCAGTGAACGGTTCTTATTTTGTTTCTTAGTGTGAAAAACATTTTAATAACCTGAAGAACGTTCACTTTAAAGAACCTTTGGTGGAATGGAAAGGTTCCAGGGATATTAACGTTTCTTCAACCACAGATGCCAGTAAAGAACTTTTATATTTTTACGATTGTTCCATTCAAATTCAAATGTCAATGAGGCACTGATGTTGGGGGATGGATTTACGTGACATTTCACAATTTTAAGTGTGTTCGTCCTCATATATCCAGGTTTTCCAAGTCTGGGAACCTGATTCTTCCAAGAAAAATGTGAATCAAAATCAAGTCAAGCCTTCAGGCCCCTTTGAAGTTTGCTGATGCCCCCTGGTTTGGAACCAATGCTCTAGATATCGATGTTGTCATCAGCCACTGGCAAAAACCCAATATTGATAGACTACTAATATACACAATGCAATTCAATACACATACAGGGGCTATAATGGTACTGGGGAAGAGTGCAATGTGGTAGAAATAAACAAGAATACAATATAACGCATCTGAATTCTCTTTGATGTCATCAGGAATGTGATTTTCTACCTTAGTCTGGGGTCGATGCACATAACATGTTTTTAAAATTCATGACCAAATCTGAAACTACTGTAAATCTGGGCATTTATAATGTAATGTATTTTATCTCACACTGTAGTGTTGCATACTTGAGTGTGCATAGGTAGGTGGATGGTTGCGTGGGTGATTCATGTCTTCCTCTGCCTCTAATTTATTCTTTCTTCTTGCACAGAAAAGCACAATACCTCTACCAATTTACCTTCCCTCCTTGTACATAATCTGAGCAGCTCTCATGTGCTACCAGATTTTCCTGGATCATTAGAAACACACGCAGTTTAATTAAAGAGTGGGAAATGAGCTGCATCTAACTTTGAGACTCACTAGCCAAAATAAGAGCTTCTTCAAGGTGCTCAAGTAATTTTAAGTTTTAATTGCATGGCTTGAAGTATCATTCGTTCCCATATCACCAAAATTGAACAGGTTTAAAGGATTGGTACAAATCCCTAACTTCAAGTAAAATGAATAATAATTATGCCTTAACAAACCGCACTATTAATTATTTGCTGTGCCTCCAGAGTCTTTTCCTATGAGCGTTTTTTATGTGCTGTTACATGACAGTGACTGGTCCTCTAAGGAACCACGCGCTCATGCTGTAGGTGATGGTTTATATTACCATTGGAAAAAGAGGCCAAGACAACTAGTCGGTGTTGAACTCTGACCTGCAGTATTCATTTGCATCTGCATTTTAAGCTTGACTTTGCCTTCAGTAAAACTAATTTCCTTAGATTGGTCGTGGAAAACAGTCACTTTAATGCATTTATTTTTTTGCTCAATGTACCCTGCTTTACTCCATCCAAACTGTGATTTTTGTGTGTAGCAACCATTTCATTGTCCATTGTACTGCTGTAAAATCTGCAAACAGTCCAGAATGCTATACAATTATAAAACCAGAAGCAGGTGGTAGCAGTTTTTCCATGATATGTTAAAGTGATTGGCATCGGAAGCGAAATAGCTTACCCTATTTGTAATGCTAATGCTAATTAAACTACAGTAGTATCAGGGCTTGATCAGTGGAAATAAAGGCAGGTTGTGTAAAAGTGCCATTCGATATGGTGAGAGAGAAAGGGAAAGTGAGATGAGATAACTGTAATTAGAAGCCTAGAGAAGAGGTGGACCTGACTCGTATGGAAGATATCCAAGACTTTGTTAGCGTTAGACAGGCAACACTGTCTGAATGCTAATACGTGACACCTGTCCTGTCCTTGTTCTAGGTTTTTGCGTTCTCTTTGTCTCTGAACGTCTGTGTTTGAATGACCCAAAACGTTAAAAAAGGCACTTTGCAATTTGAGATCCAGCTTGTAAGAAAACACTGTCAACCAAACCATGGTTGGCACAATCAATACATTTTTGTGCTCATGAATTTATGTTGCTGCAGAGAGCATACTTGGTGTTCTGGATGCATGTTAAATGTATGAGTAATGTATACCTTTGTAAATTCCCATTATTCTCTTTTGCAGTGAAAGAACCTGGAGATGTCTCAGAAGAAGATATTCCTAGTATTGATTGCAATAAGTACTGTCAGCTTGCTTCTGCACCATGGGGGTCACTTGAACTTGTAAGAGCCTTTGAAGAACGATCCCTCCATTTGTCCCTACCTCGGTCCTATTGATGCACCAAAAAATCTTTTTTTACCAAAATGAGCAATGAGCCATCTCTCTATTTGTAGCTCTCTTGTAGCTCCATGAAGACACTTGACAGTCAAAATGCATCTTATGCCAAGTTCACACTGCACGATTTTAGCCCCAATTTTCACTCGCCGACAAATGTCAAATAACAAATGACAAATTGGAGGCAAAAAGGTGCTCGTTATTTCCTTATCACTTCTCGCGTGCGTTTGGTTGTGAAACGTAGTTTGCGGACCAGACAGATTTGTTGGCGATTCTTCCTATTGTAAAGTCATGCAGTGTGTAACCTCCTGTCGCCGATCCATCGTGCAGTGTGAACACAGCAGAAACTGAATGCTGCCCCAGATAGTCGTGCAGTGTGTGAAAACAACGGTGATCTGACGACTTTGAAAGTCGTGCAGTGTGAACTTGGCATTAGGAGAAGCATTAACTTAATGCACTGTTTTGGTCTCCAAAACTATTTTGGCCACATATTTGCAGTTGCCAAAATTTCAGAGCATCACTACTCATTCCTCATTTCTGCCACCATTTGTTTTTAGTCTATTCCATTTGATTCTGGCTTGATCTTGGCTGGTTTAGCTGTTTGACTAACTGATCTCCCAACTTGACCAAATCCCCAAAATGTCAAAAACCAGCATACCAGACCAGAAGTGGCCAGCTGAAATCAGTAAACCAGCTAAGGCTTGATTAAGTTTTATCAGTAGGGTATTTTTGTTTTTGATTTTCCATTTTTCTGATCTTTCAACATTGATTTTGAAAACTGACTGTATTTTCTTGATTTGTGCATTAACTCTCCCTCTCTGATTGCAGGACGTTAGAGGCATTCTGGTTGGGCTGTCCATCCTCTATGGCCTCCTCCACCCAGGGCAGCAGTGGACTTTCTGCTAAACACACCAGTGTAGCCTTCCTGAAGACGCACAAAACCGCCAGCTCCACTGTGCAGAACATCCTCTTCCGCTTTGCTGAACGCAACAACCTCACTGTGGCATTGCCTATTACCACCTGTGACCACCAGTTCTGCTACCCTCGACCATTCAGTGCCCACTTTGTTCATCCACACACTACACCACCTGACATCATCACCAATCACTTACGGTTCAGCCGGGCTGAGCTACGACGCCTCATGCCCAACAACACATTCTACATCACGATATTGCGGGAACCGGGAGCAATGTTTGAGTCTCTGTTTACCTACTTCAATCAGTACTGTCTTAGCTTTAAACGTGTTCCAAATGGCTCTTTAGAGACTTTCCTGGACCACCCGTGGAGCTACTATCGTCCAGAAGAGAAGGATTCAATGTATGCAAGAAATACACTGACCTTTGACCTAGGCGGTGATAAAGACCGGCCATCTTCAAAGGCGGCAGCGTATGCGAAACGATTCGCCGTAGAGATGGAGCGAGTGTTCTCCTTGGTTATGATCGCAGAATACTTTGACGAATCTTTGGTGCTGCTACGCCGCCTGTTGTCTTGGGATCTCGATGACGTTCTGTATGTCAGTCTCAACATGCGCACGCCTGACTCCAAGAGCAGCCTTTCCAGTGAAAATGCGGCCAAAATCAGAGCCTGGAACGCTATAGATTCCGTCCTGTATGATTACTTCAATGCCTCGTTGTGGCGACAGCTGAGAGAGTTGGGACTATCGTGCGTTGAGCGGGAAGTCCAGCTGTTGCGTCAGTCTCGTGACCGACTTGTCCGCAGGTGCTTCGGGGGGCATTTGCCACCGCTTCGCTCTGCTGCACAGATCACGAATAAGGAATTACGGCCTTGGCAGCCCAGTGCCAAAGTGGCAATCGTTGGGTATGATTTACCGGTTAACATAACACAAAAAGGCCATGTTCCTCCACCAGACGAGTGTCTAAAGATGATAATGCCGGAAGTGCAATACACACGGCTGCTGCTGCGCTCAGAGTCCCTACGTTATCGAAAGCGGTTTCCATTACGGAGCTCCCAGCAGACTTCACGAACTGTGGGACAAGTACGGGCACACAAAGAATCCCCAGCTCCGAGTTTGAATCCGCGACCCTCAGAGACTATGTCTCGGAGCACCAAAGGAGCGCTACGGCTTTCCCAATGACCAGTGCGAAAGGATAGTTAAACTCGTTTCCTTTTATTCCCCGTTCCTTGCAGCTAAATGTCCATGAGATGTTGGAATTACTTGAAAGCTTGAGGTCATACCTCATTTGTATTGGATGTGAGCACAACCAAACGTACGCTCGCAACATAACTGTTCTAAAACTTAGAAAAATCTTTGTGTGTTTATCAAATTGAAATGTAAAAAGGTGAAGGAAAATATACATTGAAGTCTAAAAGCCTGATATCTGGAATGTGTCTCAAACTCTCAAGGACTATCACTCCACATACATTCCATCACTCACTGTTTGTATTTAAGCCATCATTACCCTTCTGGAAAATCCTAAATTAGCTCAAGTTTGTACCTGGTTTTAAATGGTTTCTAGCTAGTTGAAGCTAATCTCATATCATTGCTGGTCCAAGCTTGTATTGAAGGTTGATCAGCTGTATTACCAGCTGGTGATGTTTAGATGACCTGGCAGATCATCTTGGTCAGGCTTGATTAGGACTACCTTGATAGACTACCAGCTACAAACCTATTTGATGTGACCTTGATATTATTATTATTTTTTTCTTCTGGTAATTGCATTTGAGCATTTTAAGGCTTCCTTTTTACCAACAGCAATCTGTTTGAGTGTGAACTTTTACACATGCTTATCAACATACTGACAGCTGCACCTGAGCCACAAATCACCATAATTGACTCTTCAGTTGTGGTCCAAAAAACCCAGCATCATGTGTCGATGATGATGCAGCCGTGTCGAAGGACATTTAAATATTTAATCATTTAATCTTTAGCCTCTCCTTTGGCAGCGCTAGGGTTACACAGCCCTACATTTTTATGAGGCCACTATGGACCAGGCCAGAGAGGTTCATCCTTGACTAGAAGCGGGGAATGGTGACAAAACAGTTCATCTACTTTGAAGAATCATCACTATATGTCATAAGCCAGAGTGAGCAGTGTGTTAGTTTCATTTTTATGTGTTTTTATTGTGTTTTTCGGGATGATTATTTTCGGGATTATAATGCAGTGCACTTGCAAATATGTAACTTATGTAGGCTAATTAAATTATATTAGGAAATATAGCTCCACATTGTCTAAGACATACTCTATACAGTAAATGCAAACACTTCTAGCTGCGCACAAATTATTTTAACAATACTTGCGTAGAGTGTGCTTCTTGCCTAACTTTTCTTTACTGGAGCTTCACTTAACAAAGGTACTGTGATGTAGAGGTACTGGGTGGTGACCGAACAAATGGTGGCCACCCTCATTAAGAGTCATGCCAGTTGAATGTAAGAACATTGCTCCAATCTGAACATTGTTCTGTGTACTGCTGAGGTGTCTCCACAAACAAAGTTGGGAAACACTTATTTAGGGCACCAAATAGAAACTGAATACCTCTGAAAGAACAGCCTCTTAAAGAACATCGTTTCTAATATTGGTTTCTTTGCTGTTCAAAGAAAGAGGAATTTATTCTTGGACAGGATGAAGCTAAATTTGCTGTTCTCACTTGAACTTTCCCGCAATAAGAATTCCCTTCATACTGAAGTGAGGTTTTCATTTTGAAAACCTCAAGTCATAATTCTCATCCTTCATTTGGAAACATCTCACATATTTCTTCAGATGTACTGTATTTTAGAGAATAATATTTGGAGCAATATAGCAATGGTATGTACGCCATAACACAATTACTAGTCAAATGAAGGAATCTAGATTAAAGCATCATGAGCGCCTTGAAACAATTATCCACCCATAAACCAACTCCTTTTTTTAGGAGTGCTAGATGATACCTAAAGAAATACTGTTAGTGTTTGTTGTGAACATACGGTCTGGATCTATGAATCCCAAATCTCATCCAAAATCCTCATGTTTCAAAATTGGAAATACCTCAGATAATACAATTTAAACTGTTGTTAATGGAAGCGTCTAAGTCCTTAAAGACAGTCGAGACATTAGACATGTAGAAAGTGCTCTTTGATTGTATATAATGTACTTTCTGTTGAACATAACACAATTTTGAGTTTAAATTTAAAGATGAACTTTGAACACGAAAGTCTTCATTCTTGTTTGGGCTAGAAAACCTCTCGGTAAAAAATGCTGGAGACAATTCAATGTTGTTGTTGTTTTTTTTTTGTTATCTTTGATGTATTGTAAAGAAGAATTAGAAGTAAAGCATGGAGTGATTTGCCATAATTTACTGTATACAAAGAATCTGCTGTGCAACCGGATGACCTTTTCATAAAGACTGTGAAGAGAGAGATTTTCATGCTTTTTGTGCTGGATGATTTGATGACAATAGATGTTTTTCCATCAAATTCATTCTTTCATACTCTATTTATTTAACTGCTACATTCAATGAATTTTTAGGGGCTTTGAATAAGATGCTTCTGACAATCAGAGGTTTGCTTCTGAAGCTGTGTAATGAGAGATGTGAAAACATTGACCATTAAAGCTGGAAAAACAACATCCTTCTGGCTCATGTGCTTCATTCCAGTCATCAGGTTTGATCTTTTTGTCTGTTAATAGTTCAACTTTTTTGACTAACAAAGGATTAAGCATTGAGTAGGAGGAGCGGCGCAGTGAAATTTCAGCTGGTCCACCCTGATATGCTTTCTAATTCATGTGTAAAATATAATATTCTCCAACATGTTTTTGTGCTATTTAGATGTCATCTGATATTGAACCCTGCTGGAAAAACTTCAACCTTCTTTTTTTTTTTATATGCCCTTAATATGACACATGCCTGGGGTTTTAACATTTCATGTGTTTTCATATTGCTTTGCAGTGTTTTATAAACATCTACCACTATCATGGGTTTATCATTAATCTATAGGAGCTGCTGAAAAATGAAAGGTGAGTAATAAAACGGTTTTACACATGGGGATGGATCTCAGTCAGCAGGTTTCTTTGTCACTCTTTCAATAGTTACGTAACCACAGAAAGCCTTTCATTAAATAGTCGATACGCTAATGTGTGTTTCTGTACATTTTCATTAGTTCTTCCAAAGCAGTTTTGTGATTTTTATACTTATTTCAACTTCAGTACTTTAGGTTAAAGAAAATGAGAATGCAATGTGCTTGGCTTGACCTTACATTTCCAATGTGACATTGATTTTGACAAGTTAATTGATTTTATTTTACAAGAAAGAGAAATAAATGTGATTCTTATTTTACGCATTTTTAAAAAATACGTTTCTGCAGATTTTACAAGGGCTATAAGTAAATCATAAATCATAATAAATTTGATGAATTACCAGAATGTCAAGTATTCTCGTAGAGGAGAATAATACTGTTGTGACCGTGGTTTCCATTTCAAACTGCTGTGCTTGACATTTTTAAAGACACTTTTGGTGTCTCTTAAATTAACGGGCAATGCTTTTGTCAGCATTTATTCATAGTAATTCACTCAGCAGGGTCCTTTTTACATCTGGATAACAAAAGCTTTAATAACTGAAAATGACACCATAGGTCTCATACTTCAAATAGGACATACCTGAACCAAATCAACAGAATATCACCCCCTTACAAAAATTAGCCATGGTTTTATTATAATAAAAGTGTAGTGACCTTGTTTTTTTTTTGGCGTATTGATTACCATTTGTATAACCACAGTTTTAGGCAAATACCGTGGTTACACTATGGTTGGTGTAGCAAAACCATGGTTAATTTGTGATTACCATGGTTTAACTATAGTAACCATGTTTTTGGTTTTATTTGTAGTAAAACTGCACAGTGTGAAACGATGCGGTGTTGGAATATTACGGCAAGATGATTAGCAACCGACAGCCAATAGCACACCTCATTTTCACATGTTTTGGGCTGTCATGGAAACACTGTGCCTTGTATAAACAGTCGTTTCAGCGTTTGAGGGGAAATATGACGGATAATAAAAGAAAACGTGTGAATTGGAGTACAGAAAATACTTTTTATCTTGTCTTTCATCTTATCAGTTCATTCTTACCTTTATATTCTGAAAGTCCATTTAGGTAAACTCAATAAGGTATATTTTAGAAAGATGCGCAATGCTAAGGTCGTTATGTAAACAGATCACGTGCTGCGTTTGTCCAATCAGTGAAAGGGACACTGCAAATACAGTGTATTTAGTATTTAATAGGAGTTAACAGTGTGAAACGTCAGCTTGTAAATACACTAAACTAATTGCTAACCCTGCAAATTATGAGCAGCTTGAAACATGAAGAAAGATAAACAAGGATTCCAGTTACCCAGGGTTAAAGCCCTTAAAGGGATAGTTCACCCAAAAATGAAAATTTGATGTTTTGATCCAAGATGTAGGTGACTTTGTTTCTTCAGTAGAACACAAACGGAGGATCGTTTTGTGTCTTTACACATCAGTGTATCGTCACGAGCCGCAGGGTTTAATTTGGTATTGTTTGTGTATGTTTTATGACTCTCGAAGCCGTTATTCCCATCCACTTGCATTATAGGACTGACAGACTGCAGCGGTTTGACTTAAAAATCTCCGTTTGTGTTCTACTGAAGAAACAAGGTCAGCTAAGTAAATTCTCAAAAACATAAACGTCATTCACTCAGCTAAAAGGGAACATTCTCAGAATGTTCTGGCAAGGTTCTCACAATGTTATGAACAAATGTTCTTCCAGTAATAATTGTTCAAAGTGATCTGGTTTTGAATGATATTCTCAAAATGTTAGCACAAAAATATTATTTCTACATTGTTCATGGAACTTTTTTCTAAAATGTTCAGTTACCCAGGGTTAAAGCCCTTAAAGGGATAGTTCACCCAAAAATGAAAATTTGATGTTTTGATCCAAGATGTAGGTGACTTTGTTTCTTCAGTAGAACACAAACGGAGATTTTTAACTCAAACCGTTGCATTCTGTCAGTCCTATAATGCAAGTGAATGGGAATCATGGCTTTGGAAGTCAAAAAACTTACACAAACAAAACCAAATTAAACCCTGCGGCTCGTGACGATACATTGATGTGTAAAGACTAAAATGATCGGTCTGTGCAAGAAACTGAACAGTATTTATATAGTTTTTACCTCTGATTTTCACCGCAATGTCCGAACTGTCCTGAGCGCGTTCTCAACAGCCTGCGCCTGACGCGTCTTCTTCTTCTTCTTCTTGCTTTACGGCGGATCGCAGACTTATAAGTGCATTACCGCCACCTATCTCTCAAATGGACCATTGACACTCTATCTACAATCTCAATTAGGAGTGTCA